GCTATCCTCGTCATCGACTTTTCGTTGCCCTCGCCTTCCTCTTCTTCGCCCAATACGTCCATTAGACTACAGCGGCGCTTCCCGTTTTTGTCCGATCAGGTTTATCAGTGATGCTGCAGTGCACCCGCCCATCCCAAGTTCCTTCCTCATGAGCCCTTACAGGCTACAGTTTGTAAATGAGGTTCCGTCCATCCGTGTAACCATTCCACATCTTGCACACTCTGACAATCAAAACATGCGCCGAAGTCCCAAGCTAACACCTCATGTATTGAAAGGCGAGGCCCTCCACCCGTGCCAATGTTGCACAATGTTTAAGGCGAGTGTGCGCGGCGCTACGGTGGTAGCCACATCTTTAAAGCGGGTCGCCATCAATATGTACACGTGCTGGAAGCGTTTAGGACGAGCGCACGCGGTACTTTTGTAAACCACTTGTCGCCCATCCGTCTAGCCGATGGACGCGTTCAAGAAGAATGTGCGCGGAGTAAAAGCGAGAGCCACTTTTTTTTTTTTTTTTTTATTTTTTTTTTTTTTTTGTTTTTTTTTCTTTTTATTTTTTTTTTTTTTTTTTTTTTTTTTTTTTTTTATTTTTTCTTTTTTTTTGTTTTTTTTTTTTTTTTTATTTTTTTTTTTTTTTGTTTTTTTTTTTTTTTTTTTTTTTTTTTTTTGTTTTTTTTTTTTCTCTTTTTTTTTTTTTTTTTTTTTTTTTGTTTTTGTTTTACTTTTTTTTTTTTTTTTCTTTTCTTTTTTTTTTTTTTTTTATTTTTTTTTTTTTCTTTTTTTTTTTTTTTTTTTTTCTTTTTTTTTTTTTGAACACGGGCTGCCCTTCATTATTGAGAAGGCATTGCGGCCGGTGCCGCCGACCCTGAAGGGGGACGACGACGACGACGGCGGCGGCGGCTGCGGCGGCGGCGGCGGCGGCGGTGGTGGCGGTGGCGGCGCTGACGTGAGGCAAAGTCCTACAGGATGCTTCGTGGGGCCTCTTCGGAGCGCGCTCGTAAGCCTCTGGGGGGCAGTTTTGGAGCCTCATGGGAGTGAGCTTCTTGGGAGCCTCTTGGGAGCCTTTGGGGGTCTCTTCGGGCTTCCTGGGGGCCTCTTGGGGGCGTCTTGTGGCCTCGTGGGTACTTCTTGGGGCCTCCTGGGAGCCTTTCGGGGCCGAGGGCTCGAAATGTTTATTCGGGTTCCTGTGTGGGCACCCTCTAAGAGTCCTCTTGAGAGCCTCTTGGGCCGTCTGGGAGGCCTCTAGGGCCGTCTTGGGGCCCTCTTGGGTTGTTGTGGGGCCGTCTTGGAAACCTCTTGGGGCCTCTTATGCCGATCTTGGTGGCACCTTGAGCTGTCTTGAGGCGTCGGGAAGCCGAAAAGGCGAGAATGCCAGAATCTTTCCAACACCTATGGAACATCTTTTTTGTTTGCCTGTCGGGGCCCTCTTGGTATGCTCTTGGAGGCCGCTTCGAGCGACTTGTCAGTCGCTTGGGCTGTCAGGAGGCCATCTCTGGCGTCTTGGACCGATCGTTCGGCGATTCGGGGTCCTCTTGGACAGGGGGTCTCTCGGGGCACTCTTGAGCCGTTTTGGGGCATTTTTGGGCCCCGGGCCCCCCCCACCCCGGGCCCCCCCCACCCCGGGGACTCCCCCCGCCAGGAAGGGATGAAGGGAATGGCTTCCCTCTGGCTGAATAGTGACATAGCTTCTATTCGTTTTGGCTGGCGAGATCGAGGAGGATGACTCGGGGAAAGGAGGGGGCAAGCTGCGACGGGCGCAGGAGAACTCTGCCACGGGCTAAAGGAAAGGGGAGGAAGGACAGCGGCGACGGCGACGGCGACGACGACGGGAATGGAGCAAACGGAACGGCGTCTCACACACATCGACAGGGTCGGCAAGTTTCAGATGTTTGGGGATTGCATGCTGCAGTAGCGATGAGAAAGTGTCGCACGAAACTCCCAGTCCGCCAAACGGATACGTCTGCTGAGGGGAAGGCGCACTTACTAGGAGAAGGTTTTTGGGGGAGGCGGAGGAGGAGGAGGAGGAGGAGGAGGACGTGGAGCAGGAGGAGGAGAAGACGGCGGCGGCGGCGGCGTTGGCGGAGGCGGAGGCAGAGGCGGAGCTGGAGGAGGAGGAGCTGGAGGAGGAGGAGGAGGAGGAGGAGGAGGAGGAGAGGAGGAGGACGAGGACGAGGAGGAGAAGCAGGAGGAGGAGGAGGAGGAGGAGGAGAAGGAGGAGGAGGAGGAGGTGGAGCAGGAGGAGGAGAAGGCGGGTGGGGGGAGGGGGAGGAGGAGGAGGAGGAGGAGGAGGAGGAGAAGGAGGAGGAGGAGGAGGAGGAGGAGGAGGAGGAGGAGAACGACGCGGAGCATGCGCCTTCACCCGTTCATGTTGGACGGGATCGTACACAAACTTCGCACTTTATTTGACAAGATTGTTGGATATTCGACTCTTATGCATTGGAGGCTCCGTCATAAAGCAATCAGGAGGTGCCCTAAGTCGAGATCCAGGTAGTTCGCCATTATTCCACGCTGCCTTCAGCCGGTGCGAATACGAACTTGACGACGATCATCGGCCACAGACTTTCGGATTTGCTTACAGGCGTGTGGAGCACGGGGCACCATTCCGTTACGTGGACGACACCGGGCTTGCATCGCGCACAGTTTGTCAACATTGCTTGAGTCAAGTGCAGCATGCCACATGCACTGGGGTCGTGGACTTCGAGACCGACGAAAAACATCATCGTGTTTCTGCCAGACCTGCTTCCAACAAGTTCTTAGACATGCTCATCACCATCACCTTTGAGGGAATCCAGCTCGCGCTGTTCATGCGAAACCTGCAAGTCTTCAAGGACGGCTGCGTATATTCACCCAAAAATACGGCTTCCTTCTGCAGTTGGAAGGGCCGATGAAATAATGAGACGCCTTGGCGTGAACCTGGCAAGCCAGAGAGCCCGCTGGAAGCAGCTGACGTTACCGAAGCTTGAGTGTGCGAAGGCTTTCTTGCTTGATGTGCTGGAGCTGTGGATGCTCGGGTATAGCTATATTGATGTACGCCGGGCGTTGTATGCCGTTCGCTTCCAAAACGTGTTCGTGCATCTCTGTCTTGACATTGTTGTGATTCTGAAGCCTCTCTGGCCTACCAGGCGCCAGCTCGACTGCCACCTCAACCCAGGCGTCACAAGAGACATGGCAGTAGCAGCGTCCAAATTTATGGGTGTAAACTTGTAATATGGGTTTCGCCTATAATGTGGAACCGTGAAGAGAAAGCCACAGGTCTGGCATGCATGTGTATATTGTGCATATTTCCCCTTTCCTGTTCTCCTCCGCGCGCGCGTGCTTCATTGAACACTTCTGCATGGCCGAACTGCCGTTTTCAGCCAAGAGCCCCGTTGCCGGCCACCGCTCCCGGACGGGACTGGACCGTGGCCACACCAGCAGGCGCTCAAACTCAATGGGTGCGGGCTTGGCGGTTGCACTGGCATCCGAGATGTATTCCATTTGATCGTGGGTCGTAAGCGAAAGTGGCATCGTCTATCAGGCTTCGTTACACGCATTCTTCTTCAACAGGGGGAGGAGGAGAGAGGAGGCTGAGGACGAGGAGGAGGAGAAGGAAAAAACGAATGAGGAGGAGGAAAAGAGAAACAGTCATAATTTTAGTATTACAAAAATAAGATCACTGATAACAATGATAATCATAAGAGCAATACTAATAATATTATGAACTCTGATTAGTACTGATTAAGATAATAATAATTGTATAAAAACAAGAGGAATAATCATAAGAAGACGAAGAAGACGGATGATGAGGAGGATAATTAGAAGGAGGTGACGGAGAGGAGGCTCAGCGTGGAGGCAGGAGGGTGGATCGAGGAGCGCGTGGATGGTGTAGTGCGGAGCGAGGAGTGAGAAGTGAGGAGCGCGGAGTGGGGAGAGTATTTTACTCCTTCCTCTCCCTGTTGATTATGTTGTCTGTTCTCCAGCGCCGCTCTCCTCTGCGTGTTCTTCCTCGGCGTTCCTTCTCCCGCATCCGCTCGCTCTCGCGTTTAGCTTTCTTTCCCCAGCAGGAGGTCCTGCTCACCCTGCCCCCGCCTCTTTCTCCTTCTGCCCACTCTCCCCCGTTCCTTCTACCTCGCACTCCACAATTACTCAATATGAATACTACTCTCCCTCTTCCCCTGATGACGTGCTGGGAGTGTTCGACCCCCCCCGCGTATTGTTTTTTACACAGGATTCCCGGGAGTTGGGTTTTCGCTTGCATTTTTTTCAAAATGCTGCTCTCGCTGAGGCGCCGGCCTCATTTTCGGGCCCCGCTCGTTCCGAATCGTGCTCCCGCTGCAGCGCTGGCCTCATTTCCGTGCTTCCGCTCGTTCCGAATCGTGCTCCCGCTGCAGCGCTGGCCTCATTTCCGCGCTTCCGCTCGTTTCGACTCGTGCTCCCGCTGCAGCGCTGGCGTCATTTCCCGTGCCATGCCACGGCATGCAATGCAATGCAATGCTAGGTTGATGCTGCGCTTTGCGGTGCTCTTCTACGCCATGCCATGCCGTGCTCTACAATGTATCGCGTACCCTTTCGCGATCATTGCCCTGCTCGACATCCGACTGTGCGAGTAGAGAGGGGATCTACGCCATGGTAAGGGATGGGAGGGAGGGGTAGGATGTCAGATATGACGCGAGCGCACTTAGCTTGCCCATTCCCCTCCCCCACTAGCCTCATTCTTCCTCCTCCCCCCGACGTCGTGTTTTTGTCGCAGGGTGGCCTCCTGGAGGTCTCGACCCCTTCCCCTAGACTGGTTTTTCATCCCTCGCCGTTTTTGGGCGGTGCTGGGGCCGGGCCCAGTAAGGGTTCCCATCAGGCCGAAACTAATGTCAGCAAACCAGAAACTTTCCGTCGTGTTTTTTCGCGACGCTGGGGGGTCTGGGTCCCCTCTCCGCCCTCCGAAGGCGCTCTGGCTCGAGGTCGGCTCGCAGCGTGGTCCAGGCGCCAGCCAGACCCTTCCAGGCAGCCTCGAGCGAGACGGGCCAGCGATGGAGGAGGCGCTGTGCCAGGTTCGGCTGCACGCGAGAGTGATCCTTCGCTGGGGTGGGGCCCCAGTGATACGATCGCAGCGGTTTTCGCGCCGGGTACTTCCCACCCACCTGCCCCCACCCCACCCCCACCCCTTCTCATCCGCGCACCAAGAGATTGCTCTTGCCTGGGGTCAGTCCTGCGTGTAGCCGACGACAGGTGCTGGCGCTGCTCGTGCTGGACTCCGACGGTGAGCGGCTGGCGGTGAAGTATTCCGCCGTCGCGCGTCGTGAGCTGTGGCCTAGCGTCGAGGCGCAGGTCGCGTTTGAGAAGATGATCATCAGCAAGCTGCCCAAGCTCGGCTCGGCAAAGAGCGAGGTGGATGTCGCGGTGATCAAGGAGTACACGGTGCTTTTCCAGGCTTGCAACGATGTGGTCGTGTGCGCGGTGGCCTCGAGCACAGAGAACGAACTGGCGGTGATGCAGCTCGTCGAGGGTATCTTCTCGTCGGCGAACAACTGCTCGCACGCCACCAACTTTCTGTCCACGGGCCTTAGCAAGCAGCTCGTGCTGGACAAGCTCTCCGACGTACTTTTTATCCTCGATGAGGTCGTGGACGATGGCATCATCATGGAGACCGACGAGGAGAAGATCACCGCCCGGATCAAGATGATCGACGAGACCCAGGTGTCGCAGCAGGCGCAGGCCGAGGAGGTGTTCACCAAGGCGACCCAGAGCGCCAAGCAGAAGTTGCTGAGCTCCCTGATGGGCGGCCGCGGGTGAGCCCTGGGAGCTGGCAGGCTGAAAGCGGCCCCGTGGGGGCCTGTTTTCCTCCCCGCGGCCGCGGCCGAACGCCCATGGCTGGGCCTCCCGCCCGCAACATCACGCCCCCCCAGGGGGGAGGGGGGGTCGGAGAGCGCCACCCAGGGGATGGGGGGCGGCCCTCTGCCGGACCCACCTGCGGCCGGAAGCTGCAGGCAGGTCCAGCGGAGGGGGACGCGCGCCGCCGAGCAAGCCTTCCGTCCCCCCCCCCCGCCCCCCTTGGCCAGCACCCACCTACGCACCCCACTGCTGGCGAGGTAGCGACGGGGTAGTCGCGCAGGAAGGTAACCCTGAGGCGGCCCGAGGAGATCCTGGACCAGTCACCGAATGTAATCGAGACACCTTTCGTGCCCGACTACACCCGCGGCAAGGTCCCATGCCAACGGGCATGATGTTAAGGATGATGCTGCTGCTGCTGATGACGATGACGATGACGATGATGATGACGACGACGACGACGACGATGATGATGATGATGATGATGATGATGATGATGATGATGATGATGTTTATGTTGGTGATGATGATGAGGATGAGGATGAGGATGAGGATGAGGATGAGGATGAGGAAGATGATGATGCCAATGTTGTTGCTGCTGATGATAATGATGATGATGGCACTTATAGCGATAATGGCGATGATGGTGTTGGTGATGATGCTGCTGATGCTGCTGATGATAGTGATGATGACGACGATGCTGATGATGATGATGGTGGTGATGATGATGGTTCGAATGAGGATGATGACGATGACGACGATTACGATGATGGTGACGATACTGACGGTGTTGATGATGATGACGATGGTGATACTGATGCAGATGTTGATGTTGATACGGATGTTGATGGTGATGAGGATGGTGATGATGATGGTGATGATGATGATGATGGTGATGGCGATGGCGATGCCGATGACGATGGTGATGGTGATGGTGGAAGTGGTAACGACAATGCTGAGGACGACGATGCTGATGATGATGCTGATGCTGACGATGCTGATGTTGATGATGATGATGATGATGAGGAGGAGGAGGAGGAGGAGGAGTATGATGATGATGCTGCTGATGATGATGATGATGATGATGATGATGATGATGATGATGATGAGCAGGCCGTGCGTGGGAATTGTGCATACGCGATTCGCAGGCGGATCATGGGAGGTGGTGGAGGAGGAGAAGGAGGAGAAGGAGGAATGCGAGGGAGAGCGGAGGAGGAGGAGGAGGAGGAGGAGGAGGCAGAGGAGGTGGAGGAGGAGGAGGACTCACTTATACCACAGCCCTACTGTATACGAAGCCCCAGCAGCATGCATGTAGACGACATGGTGCGTCTCAGCGAGATTGCTACATCCCTCATTTATGCATCCAGGTCCTTACAGCATGCTGGTAGACAATGTTCGCACAAGAAGGGGTGAGGGGGTGAGGGGGAGGAGGAGGAGCAGCATTATCATCCCTTGCGTGCAGAGAGGGAGGAGAAGGGGATGTCGAGCCACTTGAGCAGTCGGACTGCACGTCGGATGCCACCTCCCAGCTGGTCTGCCCTGGGCGTTTGAGCCAGCCAGAGATACACCACGGCGCCCGCTGGCGCGGCGGCGGGTGTAGGGCCTCGCGCTGTCAGACTGCTCGTCGTGCCGTTGAATTGCGCGTCGTCCTTCCTCCCCTCCCCTGTCGTCGTGCTTATCCTTCCGCCTCCTCACCCTCATGCCGTGGGTCCTCCTCCTCCTCCGCCTCCTCCTCCTTCCGTAGCCATTTTGGCTCAAGCCATTTTGGCTCAAGGTGGGGACAGGCCCCAGTTGAGTGCGGCAGCTCTTTCCAGAGAGCGTTCTTGGATTCAACCCCAGGCGGTCACCTTTCAGCCTTTCACTCCCCTTGCTGTGGGGCGCCTTCTCATTTTGTGAAGGCTTCGTCACCTGCGCCATGTCTCTCGATGCGGCTGCCATGAAGGAGCTGCTGCAAGGCGAGTTCAAGCCCATGCAGGAGCAGATCAATACCTTGGCACCAACTATCATTGAGAACATGAAGAACATCAAGCGCCTGGACGACACAGTCGAGGAGAAGCTGGCCGACTTCGGGAGGGAGGTCGCCGAGCTTCGAGGACAGCTTGGGCAGGCGAACGCTCGCATGTCGTCACTCGAGATGAAGGCGGCGTTCGGCGCTGACACCATCGACGTTGACGACGACGACGACCTGGCGGGGGACCTATACGGTGAGACGCCGCGTGTTTCTCGACAGCCCTCTGTCACGGATGCACAGCTTGCTGCTCGGGTGCAGAAACTGGAAAGCCTTATGTCGGAGCGCTCTTCCACGGCTCAGAGCAGCGGCGCCTCTGGCGGCGTGTCCCTTCGCAGTGACCCGTGGTCGACGTGGTCTCCTTCTGCGGGCCGTGCGCCTCCGCGAGCCCCAATGAACGACGAGGGTCGCAACCGGAAGAAGATCTGGATTCGGGGTTTTCCACGCAAGTTGATGGCCTCGTCGTTTCAGAATCACTTTCTTTGTCATTAAATCGAGGATGCCAAAGGAGTACAAAGACAAGTGCAGGGCGCAGGTACAGAATTTCAAGTTCAGTTACAACATCCAGTTTGACGACGAGGACGACGCGCAGCTCTTCCATCAGGCTTCGCGAGCGGGTCCTAGTCTGCTCACCTGGACGGACCCACGCGTGGGCAGGGTGGTCAACTTACGTGCTGGGTGGGACCAGCCGCTTCCGATCAGGCAGCGCTCCTTCGCTCTCGGTCAGTGCTGGCAGCTGATCATGGACGAGATGAAGCAGACGGGCCTCCGGCAGCTGAGCATGCGATTGGGATCGAACCCGTTCGCTGGAGTGCTGCACCTCTCGAACTCTGCCACGGAGGACGCGTGGGACCTGGTGAAGATCTCCGAGCATGAAGGTGAGCTGGGTACTTTCAACGTTTCGCCTCAGGACGACATGAAGGAGGTGGGATTCGACCAGGCCTTCATCGACGCGCTGGCGGAGCGCGTCGCCTCCATCGTTGCCAAGCAGCGCTAGGAGGCAGTCCTGCAGGAGTCGGCTACGAGCAGCTCTCGTGGGACACGTTCGACTGCGCTGCGTCGTGGGCCTCCACGAGCGGGTGCACGTGCAGTCATGGCGCGTCTCGGCTGTCCTTCCTCCCCTCCCTCGTCCTCTTCCTCGTGGTCTTCCTCGTCCTCCTCTTCCTCCTGCTCGTCGTGCTCTGTGCTGTGTCTGGCACCTGATTTGCCAGGATGAATGCAGAGAGTTTCGAATCCGTGGAGAGTTCCGTTTCCCTTGACTGTGTCGTTCGGGGTTGTGTCCTGGAATTCGCAGGCTATCTTAGGTTCGGTTTACGCCAATCATGAACGTCAGTGCCGCAAGTACGCTCGCTTCCGAAGCCTCGTCGAAAGGCACCAAGTCGTATTAACGCAGGAGACACATGGTACGTTCGAAGATCTGGAGACCTTGAGGCGCGACTTCCCCTCTCACTTCCACATAGGTAGCTTTTGCAGCACCCCGAATGCTGGTGGCGTCATCACTTCCATCAGCAAGAGCTTCGTTTCGAAATTCTCGGCGGTTCGCATTTCTCAAATCGCCCGAGGTCGGGTGCTCCTCGTTCGGCTCCTGGGGACCGCTGGGCAGATTGGATTCGTGAATGTGCACCTGGGCCCCGCATTATCGTCTAGCGGTGCCCATCGCGTCTTGCAGCGTATTAGGCGCAGCGTTCCTGGCCCGTCTCACGGTCTTACCTGCCTCGGAGGCGATTGGAACTTCCCTGAGGCGGACGAGTATAGGCAGGCCATCGATGGCAGCATCACCATCCCCCCCCCCCCCGAATATAGTATCACGCTGCAAAGGTTTGTCACGCTTTTTGGAGATTTTGCCGAAGTGCCCCAGGAAGAGGCTACTCATCGTGCTTCAGTTGGTGATGTCGTCTTATATGTTTGTCGTCTTGACCGTATTTACAGGTCAGCCCCGACGGCAGAGATGCTTGACTGGCACGCGCGGTCGAACGCCATAGGGCTCGCTCACGACAGACAAGGCTGTTCTGATCACTTTCCCGTTTTTGTTCAGGTTGCTCCTGGGGCTGGGACGCCGTCGCTGCCGCGATGGGTCACCGCGCATCCCGATTTCCCCGATCTGGTCGAACGCGTCTTGAGTGAGTTCGGGCTTAGTGGCGACCCTTTTGTTCGCCTTCAGGAGTGCAAGGCCGCCATGTTTGTCGCCAGAGACACTCTCGCCCGCCAGCTGTACCGGAACGGGCCGACAGATGACAGGCAAACATCGCCGTCGCCCTTCGGTTTATGCGTGCTGCGCGTGTTCATAGACCTGCTCACTTGCGCGCTTGCCTGCATGCACTTCCCATCCTTAGTATGTACTACGACTTTCATCACATGTGCTACATAGACTACGAGGGTTACCACGAGTATCTTAGGGCCCTCAACGCGGATATGATCTTCCCCATGCTCGTGAATGACGGTGCCACCGTCCAAGGCCATACTGGCGTTGCTCGACAGGCTAGGCTACAGGCACTGCTGCGCTCTTGGTCTGTGAAACGGCGCAAGTTGGCCACCTTTGCGGTTGGCGATCCGCTCGACCCCTCGCCTCCATCCATCCTGCAGTCCGCTCAGAACCTTGCCAGCTATTGGGGTGATGTGCATCGGGCTCCTGCTGTCCTCCGTGCTCCTCCTCGCGTGCTAGACGAACTTGCTAGAGACTGCCGGCATATTTCCCCGGGGATTTCTTGGGAGTTGGAGGGGTTCGGGCTCATGTCCGCGATTAAGAACCGCAGAGATTCTGCTGCGGGCCCCGATGGGGCCCCATATAGTTGTTGGAAGCTCGGTGGTCCTATCGCTCAGCGTTGTCTGTTCCAGGCTTATGTGGCTTTTCTTCGTGGCCATGAACCTCCTGTTGGGCTTAACAGTGGCATGTTAGTATTCTTGCCTAAAATCGACGCTGTCGACGGAGAGTCTAAGTCGATCCTTGAGCCTAAGCAAACACGTACTTTAACGCTCAGTAGTACTGATAACAAGCTCCTGTCTACTGCTCTGGCTGTACCCTTTCAAACGCAAGCGAAATTCTTGGTTGCATCGTGTCAGGGGGGCTTTATCGGGGGCCGTAACCTTCTGGGCAACGTCGCGGAGCTCGAATCTTGGGTGATTGAATGGGCCTGTTACCGCGGTTATCCGTTTCATGGTATGCTGTTCCTGGACATCGTTTCGGCCTTTTCGAGCGTTCTCCATGGGTGGATCTTTCGGGTCCTTAGGGGGCTAGGAGTGCCTGCCAACTTCGTGCAGGCCGTACGCATGATGTACAACAACATGTACGTGTCCGTGTTTTTTGTGGCTCGGTATTTCCTGACTTTCACATCACCCGAGGAATGAAGCGAGGATGCCCACTCTTTGATATTCGTGTTAATATTTGATCCAGTCGCGCGTGGTCTTCGCCGCCGCCTCGAAGGTCACCCTGCTCGCCCTCTCGCTTGTGCTGATGATGTTGGCACTGGCACAGGTGATCTTTCGAAGGCCATTCCCGTCGCCCTGGAGTGGATGCAGATCACCAGCAGTATCACGGGCCTTCAGCTTAATACTAGCAAGTGTTGGGTCGTCATTGCCAGGGATTTGATGTCGATATGGCCGTTCAGGAGTTGACAGCTTGGCATTCCCGTTTTATCCTTTCCAGTTGGCCGCAGCGCTAAATACCTTGGAGTGTATCTCGGCCGTGGCGGCAGAGACGAGTCCTGGCGTGCACCGTGTCAGAGGCCACTCGAACGTGTTGCTCACATGTGCACGCTGCGTATCTCTTTGGTGCAAAATATCAGGGCCTGCAACACGCCGGCGCAGCCGGTGGTATCGTACGTCGCACAGTTCTACTCGATGAATGAGCGAGCCACCACGTCCGGGCATTCAGCACTACAACGATTGACGGCTGCGCCTAGACATTCCGTCGCCACTCCGCTGCTGAAGAATCTCGATCGACTTGGCATCGATGCAGTTCCGCGACATTTGACTTGCGAAAACCAGGCTGCTCTATATCGGGCCGCTGTTCGCAGCTCTGTATTCTCTGAGATATCTGTACGTTTTCACTGTATTGAACATTGCGATGTTGACGTTCTGGCTATCCCTCGCACGTCTGAAAGGAGGAAGAATTCCATCGCTTTCACTCGGCCCGAGAACTATCACAGGCTGACCGCCATAGCCCCCCATCTTGCTGACGAAGATGTTTCTGAGGTCCAGAAGAAAATGCACAGGGCCCTGAGGCTCCAGGCCAAGAGAAGCCCTTCCACCCCGCTCGTCTCTCATCTCCTGGGGCGCCGCATCCAGTACTTCTGGCCCGATGTTCCCTCCGAGGTTCCTGATGCCGTTGTTCGCTGCATTAACATCCTTGTTTCCCGTGCTGGCCCATATGCGGCCGTCTCCTTCATCAAGACTATCTGTAACGCGCGGCCTACTACAAGGAGGTTCCGCCAAGGGGCCCTGGCGCGTCGGTTTGGGTGCAAGGCCTCATTCGGAGATGCTGTTGATCACTACCTTCACTGTCCCGCTGCTCTGAGTGCCCTTCCTAGTGCGTTGCCGAGTTTGCCTCCAGATTACTGCGCGCGAACTAGATTTGAGCATGTGTTTTCTGTTTTTGGGCCCCCCCAGACCAGTCAAGGCCTGATGTCTGCTCTCTTTGTGCATGATATATTACTCACATTATATAACACGCTTCGCACCCAGGATCGATACGGACCCGAGTGCCTTCTCTCTCTGTTCCGCGCCCGTGCGAGAGTTTTCGCTCGACGTCGCGCGGGAGTTAGAGGCTTGCTGCAATCGCAGCGGGCTCAGCCTCCTGCCGCTCGTGGCCCAGCAGGCTAGGACCTGCCCCCGCCCGCGCCCGCCTCTGCTGCTGCCGCCGCCGAGGACTGAACCCTTTTGCCCTCTTCTCGTCCTTTCTCGTGGCCGCCTGCCCTCTTCTCGTCGCTATGCCTGCGCGCTACTCCCCCTCCTCCCCCTTGTCCTCCTGCAGAAGGCGCGTCACGAAAAATGCCAACCAGGCAGCATGTGTCCCACGGACGATTTTACTCGATGGCCAATGGATTCGCTGGAAATCTGGCGCACCTCGCGAAGCTAAATATGGACGGAATCTGCGCCTCTAGAGTTTTAGCAGGATGTCTTATATTGCGAGTCACCAATACTCCTTGGGCTCTGCGGAGGCCCCACTCGCCGCCATGGCTGGCCGCGTTCCGAAACTGTGGATTTCTTGATGGGGCGATGTTCAGCACTGGTCCAGGTGAGGTGATGTTGATCCGAAGTGGTTCCTGATTTGAGTGGGAGGCGGTTTCGAAGCGATGGGAAGAGGCGCCCGTGTGGCACTGGCACGGAGGATGAGGAACCTTTCAGCCTCGATTATGGGTGAGTTTGTTTCGTCCTGTGTTGGGGTCCGTCTTGGGAGAATCCGGCAAAAGGTTGGGAGGTTCCGAAGGTTCCGTGCGCCTCGAGTCAAACCCAGTTGACCTGGTGGATCTCTCCATACCAGCCGGTTTGAAAATAGGGAGCATGGCATTTGCACAGGCCACCGGTGATTTAGTAGCGAGCAGTTGTGCCGTATTAAGTGGGGAGATTGGATTCCTCAAGCGCCCTCCTGGCTGCAATGCCAGTGAACGCATCAAGATTATTAGCCCCAGCCACCACCAGAGCATATCAGAGATCTATACGTTCTTTGTTGTTGTAAAGTGCATCCGTAGACGGCATTGGGCCTTTCTAGGTACTGGTTTGGGGGGCACCAGTTCCGACTCAACGCATTGATGAACTCAGCTGTTGCCTTGGATTTTTGTCCGTATATATTTGCGGCGTATTGCCATCGAGTCCGAGACCCCACCAGCGCCGACCCAAGATCTTGATGGTTTCGAGTTGGATCTGGGGCGAGGTAAGCTTTACTGGGATTCCTCAGATCGGGCTTCGTGATTGGTTTTACACACGTCCAACGCGCGCGATTGAGGCTCCTTTTCCTCGTGCGCCTATTCCAGGGGCGTGTGTCTCTTCCTCGGAACCCTTTAGGCCGGATCCGCGCCTGCACGCCCTCGCTCGTCTTAGTCAGCCGTTTTTTCATATCCGTCTTTCTCCGTTTCCCATTCGCTCCCTTGGTCCCATGCCTGCTCTGGTCCTGGTCTGCCGGCTTCCTTGCTCCCTGCTCCGTGGCATGCCCCCCGACCCGAGGAGTTTCTCGGAGATGCTCCGGCTGCGGGTGGACCCCGACAGGATTAGCCACTGCGTGCTCGCGAGAAGCCGCGCCCACAAAGGCGCCAGACCTCCCCGCCTGCTAGGGAAGAGGAGGAGGAGGAGGGGTGAGAGGAGGGGTGAGAGGAGCATGAAGCAAAGCACGAGGACTAGGATGGGGATGAATTAGAAGAGGAGGAGGAGGACGAGAACCAGGAACAAAACGAGAGCACGAACGGGGAAGGCGTGAGGATGCGGAGGAGGAGCAACAACTGGAGCAAGAGCTGGAGCAGGATTTGGAGGATACGGGGCACATGGCGCAGGAAGGTGGTAGGAGGGGGGAGAGGTCCCCTTGAACTGGCTGACGGCCCCCAGCTCGCCGTGGGGAGATGTCGAAATCCTCGATGCCCGTCGAGGGCGGCGTCGTGAGCGGCATGCGCGCCTTGACTTCCAGGGCCTCCCGCGATGCTTGCAGCGCCTAGGTGGCCCGGCACACTGGCTTGGCCCGCCTGACATTCTCCTGCTTGCACCCGCCGATGCCAATCGATGGCCTGGACATCGTCGAGCACTTTCAGAATGTGGATATTATGCTGCTGCTAATGGCGATGATTAGGATGAGGTGGAGAAGCAAAAGCGTAAATTGCAGGAGGAGAGAGTCGGGGAGGGACGGACGGAGGGACGAGGAGGAGGGCGGCGTCATGTTGGAGGAGAGCCACCCTCCATCCGTATAGTCATTCGGGTCATAGAACGTAGGTCTCCAGCAAGAACCACATGGTTTAAACGTTCTGGCCTCCATCCTTGCAGTTGTTGGTGAGAACGAATGTTCGCGGTGGTAAGTGGAGAACCGAAAGTTGGCACTAGTAGTGCTTGGATGTTTTGGTGGTGTGCGCGGCGCTAAGGAGAAAACCGCCGGTTTCTCCTTAGATGTTCGAAACTGTTTACTGAATGTTTGTGGCGGCAAGTCGAGAGCCGTGTATTGGAAACCATGGGCCCTCCATTCTTGTAGTTGGTGGAGTTTTTAGCACCAGGACCTTGAATTGTGAGCATTAATCCAGCGAAGTGATCGGGCCGTCCTACGAGCACGCCTGGTGGTGTGACAAGGGAGCTTTTGGACGTTTCGCGTAGCCCCACCAGCTCATCCAGAAACGCACCAGCCCATCCAAAAACGATACCCAGGCGAATTGCCTTGATCAGAGATGTGGAGGAGCATGCAGTAAACAAAAGGCTGGAGAAGTCGTCGTACCCCAAGAGGGGAGGATGGATGGTTTTTGTCGGCTCAAGGCATTCAGGCATTCAGGTCATTCTGTATATAGCGTGCCCTCCCACTCTTTTTTCATTACATGTCCGATGGTATTTGCCTTTGTTGATTGTCTGGTGCGTCGCCCCGTGTTGGCAAGATGAGTACGACGGAAAAAAAGGGTCCCGTGGCAACCGGGGCTCTACCTACTCCACAGAAGCGGAAACAAAAGACAGCGGCGGCCCTCAAGGTCGACGACGATGCCTTAACGCCTTGAGTTTGATGGTGCACCCACGGGTTGGCACACAAACTAAGAGCAGCGCTTGTCGAAAACAATTGACAAAATGGCTTTCGATGTGAACACCGACAAGGACATGATTCAGGAGGTCAAAGAGGAAACGAATCAAGCTGTGCAGGTCGCCTCAGACACGCACAACCACGTGGAGGACGCGGACATCGAGACATCGAGATTGAGCACATTAAGGCGGATTTCGGAAACTCATGTGTCACAAAAGGGGAAGTCCAGAAAATGGTCGAGAAGAAAAGGTCGACGAGAACATAAACAAGAACGCGATCATGCAAATAACGCAGGGGGGGACAGAAACACGCAGGAGACACGATCGCCGACCAACCCGAACGATCCCGCCAGGTACTCGCGCCTGGTTTCTCCGAGCGCCGTGCCGCGGATGATCTCATCCAGGATATCGAGGGTATGGTGTCAGATTTGCTCCGGGTGGGCTTTGGAGCACGGGTGGAGGCCCCCGCGATTCCATCCAAGGTGGGTATCATCACGTTCCAGAGCACGCGGGCATGCGTTCCAGAGCATCCGAGCACAAGAACATCATCGGGGGCATATTTTTCAAAAGCGATCGCACGAAGGAGGAGCAGGACAAGGAACAAACCCTGGGGCATGTCAAACACCACCTGGGCCACAAACCGGGCTCCAAGTACAAGGAGGAAGAGTTGCAGACGTAGTGGGGCAGCGACCTGTTTGCAACGAAGGGTACATACATTGCATGGCTTAATAACAAAACCGGGGTATGGTGCACGACGTTGGTCGGGAAGTCTCATGGAAGTAAATCGAAGCATTTATGGCGGAGTGGAGGGCAACAGTCGACCCGAACAGCCCTTGACAGCGAGTGACAGTCCAGTGGCGTTCCAAACGCGTGTAAGCCAGCCAACGTAGCCAGCAGCGCGTCACATAATAATTCAGTCGATTATGATTTGCCGCCGGCTCTCCCAAACGGAGGCGGCAGAGGAAAAAACAATAACATCGAAGGGGGCTTCCCGATCCAGGCCTCAGGTTTTCGCGCGACGCCCGGATGAACCATCCGTCTCCGACCCTCAGGAGCTATTTCATCAATGTTTACGGCGTCGTGGCTGGAGGCTGCGCGACGCAGCAGAGTCTTTTTGTGGGTCGCCGTGTCCTGAGTCCGCTTTGTAAGTGGTGCGGCGGGCCCACTGGCACCCCAAAGCGCAGGTTTTTCGACTGCGACGGCAGCCGTGCGGTTCGTGAAAACCTCGGCCTTGAAGATGTCCTGGCCCTGGGTCGTGAAAGAGGTGACGAAGGCCCTGGCACGACCAGGGCGTTATTTCCCAGTCCCGAATGGAGGTGGCCCACCCCCCGTGTGGATCCCAGCTTCCAGTGGATGGTCTACCCCCCTCTGGGACCCTGGGCACTGGCTTGGTCTGCTTGGATGGCTCTGCGGTGGACCCCGACAGTGACTTGTTCGCCCGTGCGGGGTGGGGGGCTGTGGCCGTCGACATGGGGGGAAACGTGATTGGGTCGATCGATGGCCATCTCCCCCACCCGCTCCAATGGGCGGGCGGGGGGGGGGGAGGTTCATGCGTTTCTCATGGCTCTTAGGCGTCTGGGGGCGTGTGAAACGGAGTTCATGACGGACTGCAAGATGGCCCTGGATGCATGGGCCTTGGGGCCAGACCAGGACCTCACCAACGTGGCGTTCAGCGAGGTCTGGTGCGACATTTTTGCCAGGGCTCGGGATGTGGGGCTGCAGAACATCCGTGTGAGTAAGATTAAGAGTCACCTGTCTCGGGGCCAGGCTCTGGATCGCGGGGTCCCTTACTGGGCCTGGGCTGGGAACCGAGAGGCTGACCGTCTTGCTCGGATAGGTGCCGAGTTGCAGCCCCGCAACCCTGAAGTGCGGAGGCTTATGCATGTCCAGGAAGCGCTCGTGGCCCAGGGGGTGTGCCTCATCCACGAGACGATGAGGCACCTATCCAAGCTCGGCCTCCCAGATGTCGAGAAGGTGCGAGCGAG